CATGCTGCCCTGTTCTGAGCCAACTGTAATTTTCCCAAGTCCCTCCTTGTGGCACCTGACCACACTACTGAACAGTAGTCTAGGTGCAACAAAACTAGGGCCTGTAGGACCTGCCTTGTTGATAGTGTTGTTAAGAAGGCAGAGCAGCGCTTAATTATGGACATACTTCTCCCCATCTTAGCTACTGTTGTATCAATATGCTTTGACCATGAACGTTTACAATCCAGGGGTACTCCAAGCAGTTTAGTCACCTCAACTTGCTCAATTTCCACACTATTCATTACATTTTACATCATTTACATTTTAGTCATTTAGCAGACGCTCTTAACCAGAGCGACTTACAGGAGCAATTAGGGTTAAGTGCCTTGCTCAAGGGCACATTAACGTCATTTAGCAGACGCTCTTAGCCAGAGCGACTCACAAATTGGTGCGTTCACCCTATAGCCAGTGGGATAACCACTTTACAATTTGGGGGGGGGTTAGAAGGAATACTTTATCCTATCCCAGGTATTCCTTAAAGAGGTGGGGTTTCAAATGTCTCCGGAAGGTGGTGAGTGACTCCGCTGTCCTGGCGTCGTGAGGGAGCTTGTTCCACCATTGGGGTGCCAGAGCAGCGAACAGTTTTGACTGGGCTGAGCGGGAGCTGTGCTTCCGCAGAGGAAGGGGAGCCAGCAGGCCAGAGGTGGATGAACGCAATGTCCTCGTTTGGGTGTAGGGACTGATCAGAGCCTGAAGGTACAGAGGTGCCGTTCCCCTCACTGCTCCATAGGCAAGCACCATGGTCTTGTAGCGGATGCGAGCTTCAACTGGAAGCCAGTGGAGTGTGCGGAGGAGGGGGGGTGACGTGAGAGAACTTGGGAAGGTTGAACACCAGACGGGCTGCGGCATTCTGGATGAGTTGTAGGGGTTTAATGGCACAGGCAGGGAGCCCAGCCAACAGCGAGTTGCAGTAGTCCAGACGGGAGATGACAAGTGCCTGGACCAGGACCTGCGCCGCTTCCTGTGTAAGGCAGGGTCGCACTCTCCGAATGTTGTAGAGCATGAACCTGCAGGAGCGGGTCACCGCCTTGATGTTGGCGGAGAACGACAGGGTGTTGTCCAGGGTCACGCCTAGGCTCTTCGCACTCTGGGAGGAGGACACAGCGGAGTTGTCAACCGTGATGGCGAGATCATGGAACGGGCAGTCCTTCCCCGGGAGGAAGAGCAGCTCCGTCTTGCCAGGGTTCAGCTTGAGGTGGTGATCCGTCATCCATACTGATATGTCTGCCAGACATGCAGAGATGCGATTCGCCACCTGGTTATCAGAAGGGGGAAAGGAGAAGATTAGTTGTGTATCGTCAGCGTAGCAATGATAGGAGAGACCATGTGAGGATATGACAGAGCCAAGTGACTTGGTGTATAGGGAGAAAAGGAGAGGGCCCAGAACCGATCCCTGGGGGACACCAGTGGTGAGAGCACGTGGTGCGGAGACAGCTTCCCGCCACGCCACTTGGTAGGAGCGACCGGTCAGGTAGGACGCAATCCAGGAGTGAGCCGCGCCGGAGATGCCCATCTCGGAGAGGGTGGAGAGGAGGATCTGATGGTTCACAGTATCAAAGGCAGCAGACAGGTCTAGAAGGACAAGAGCAGAGGAGAGAGAGTTAGCTTTAGCAGTGCGGAGAGTCTCCGTGACACAGAGAAGAGCAGTCTCAGTTGAATGACCAGTCCTGAAACCTGATTGGTTTGGATCAAGAAGGTCATTCTGAGAGAGATAGCAAGAGAGTTGGCTAAAGACGGCACGCTCAATAGTTTTGGAAAGAAAAGAAAGAAGGGATACTGGTCTGTAGTTGTTGACATCAGTGGGGTCGAGTGTTGGTTTTTTGAGGAGGGGAGCAACTCTCGCTCTCTTGAAGACGGAAGGGACATGGCCAGCGGTCAAGGATGAGTTGATCAGCGAGGTGAGGTAGGGGAGAAGGTCACCGGAGATGGTCTGGAGAAGGGAGGAGGGGATGGGGTCAAGCGGGCAGGTTGTTGGGCGGCCTGCAGTCACAAGTCGCAGGATTTTATCTGGAGAGAGAGGGGAGAAAGAAGTCAAAGCATAGGGTAGGGCAGTGTGAGCAGGACCAGCAGTGTTATTAGACTTAACAAACGAGGATCGGATGTCGTCAACCTTCTTTTCAAAGTGGTTGACGAAGTCATCCACAGAGAGAGAGGAGGTGGGGGGGGGGGGGGGGAGGAGGATTCAGGAGGGAGGAAAATGTGGCAAAGAGCTTCCTAGGGTTAGAGGCAGATGCTTGGAATTTAGAGTGGTAGAAGGTGGCCTTAGCAGCAGAAACAGATGAAGAAAATGTAGAGAGGAGGGAGTGAAAAGATGCCAGGTCGGTAGGGAGTTTAGTTTTCTTCCATTTCCGCTCCGCTGCCCGGAGCTCTGTTCTGTGAGCTCGCAGTGAGTCATCAAGCCACGGAGCTGGGGGGGAGGACCGAGCCGGCCGGGAGGATAGGGGACACAGAGAGTCAAAGGATGCAGAAAGGGAGGAGAGGAGGGTTGAGGAGGCAGAATCAGGAGATTGGAGGGAGAAGGATTGAGCAGAGGGAAGAGATGATAGGATGGAAGAGGAGAGAGTAGTGGGAGAGAGAGAGCGAAGGTTGCGGCGGCGCATTACCATCTGTGTAGGGGCAGAGTGAGTAGTGTGGGAGGAGAGCGAGAGAGAAAAGGAAACAAAGTAGTGGTCGGAGACTTGGAGGGGAGTTGCAGTGAGATTAGTAGAGGAGCAGCATCTAGTGAAGATGAGGTCAAGCGTATTGCCTGCCTTGTGAGTAGGGGGGGACGGTGAGAGGGTGAGGTCAAAAGAGGAGAGGAGTGGAAAGAAGGAGGCAGAGAGAAATGAGTCAAACGTGGACATAGGGAGGTTGAAATCCCCCAAAACTGTGAGGGGTGAGCCATCCTCAGGAAAGGAACTTATCAAGGCGTCAAGCTCGTTGATGAACTCTCCAAGGGAGAGTAGTTGAGGTTTAGGGTTTAGTGAATGATTTGACCCAAATACAATGCTTTTAGTTTTGGAAATATTTAGGACTAGCTTATTCCTTGCCAACCATTCCGAAACTAACTGCAACTCTTTATTAAGTGTTGCAGTTATTTCAGTTGCTGTAGCAGCTGACGTGTATAGTGTTGAGTCATCCGCACACATAGACACACTGGCTTTACTCAAAGTAAAGATGGAAAAAAGTAAGGGGCCTAAACAGTTGCCCTTGGGAATTCTTGATTCTAGCCCTGTTGACTTTGTGGCTGTGGTAACTAGTGGAAACCTGCCTGAACCGGAGGGCACTTCAGCAGGGTGGAAATAAATCAGAGAGGAAGAGGCGAAGCGAGAGGATTTACTCTGCCCAAATTCTGTCCGCGTGAGATAAGCCATTTTTTGTATGGAGGTTTATGAGAGTTCCGTGAGGCTTATTTGATCTAATAGAAGTTTCTTAATGTGTAGTCTGTTACAAATGTACTGACATAAATGGATGCACGTGGCATTCTGGAAACTTTGAGAAAAACGACTTAGTTGTGCCTGTTGTTCACACGCGTATCTGCCCTCTCATTGGCTAGAATGGGCCCACCTGATCTCGCCTCCTCCCGCCTGCCTTCCATATTTGAAGACGTATTTCCATTGTTGGCGCAGTCACGCGACTATCTTGTCAATATAATAGATAATATTTTAATAAATATAGTGGGGAATCATCTGTGACCTTTGAAAGGAATGAAAAGATGTACATATATTTTCCTCTGAGGCCAACCTGCCTCCAAATGCATATCAACAATAATGTTCTATCTCTCGAAGGTTCTCATCATTTCTCACGCTCCTTGTACCTTTCCCCCCCCTGTGACATAATCAGCCATCAAAGAAAATGCAAGCATACACGATATCTGTCTCAGATTGGATGAAGGCATTATCAGCCATTTGATCTTCTGAGGCTCATTGTCAGAAACAATATGCTGCTTTTTCCACAGTGATGGCACACACCTTTTTTTCTCATCAATATGTTCCCCATGAGAAAACTGCATGCATGACCATACTTATTATCTGCAAAGTATTGCACGTGCATGGTGAAATGCTGATTATTTGGGTTCATCAAATTGACAACCTAAAATGTGAGGTAGAAATGAAAGTGTTCAGTAAAAGTACAAATGGCTCTAGGGACATGCTGCTGATTAGGTTACATCTTTCAAATCAAATCAAATCAAATGTTATTTGTCACATACACGTGTTTAACAGATGTTATAGCGGGTGTAGCGAAATGCTTGTCAAGATTACATTTGAGGATTAGTTACTATGCCTCGGATCAAAAGCATATGCATCTGGAGATTCATAAGATACATCATTCAAATAAAAAAGAATGCCTTTGCCATTACCATAGAAATTCCATTTTTTCAGACGTTTTCCTGTACATAACTTGTTCCCAGACCCCAGACCAACTAAATGCTGACACCTAGTGGTAAGAAAATAATTACAATAACATAGCTTTTCACATAGTGGGTTCTTGTCCAATCATCTTGATAGATTTCAAAGAACTGGACAGGTGAAAACAAATTTCCAGGAGCCATCCACCCCATTGCATTCACCTGCCCTGTCCTACCAGAAATAAATGAAAGGGGATGCAGAAACGCAATGAAGCATCTTTAGGTTGATGAAATTATGATGCACAGTAAGGTCTATGCAAAAGTACAGTCATATGAATTCATGCATTGAACAATATAGACTACATATTATGTTGATCTAATCATAAAAGCAAAGCAGTGTTCATACTGCACTGTAAAGTTTATGGACTAAATGAATATCCTCTGGTACCAATTACAAAAACACAATCAGTTCTGTTTTTTAATTGAAATATAAAAGCTTTTATATCATATTATTGTGGTAAATTGTTAACTCCTGCATCTCCAGATGTAAATTATCAGGATGTATTACGTAAATACAGTATTATCACCGATTGAACAATGAATTTATACAAATCTTTGGTATTACATGATCTCTTTTAAGAAACACTCCCCTCCCTCATGATGTTCTCAACCACGTCCGCATCCCATAGCGGTAGTATCACGTCAACACAATGATCAACCTCGTTTATTATAATGGGAAACGCGCATTTTTCTCAACTAAGCCTCAGAAAATCTGTGTTGTGTAACTTGCTACTTCATATACTGCAACCGCATCTAAGATAAAATCGCTGTCCAAACTGCGGTAAGCCTAAATGTTGTATGATTTGGGTAGCTAGCCAGCTACCAGCTAGCCTGTTTATGTGGTAATGTTAGGCCGCAGTCTTTTGTATTTCGTCGAGCATGCATTTGGCGTCTTGGCGGAAAATACACGTTTTATTGGGTGCACGCTACGATAAGATGCATTATACTTTTAAAATATATTCATGGCCTGTCACTTCATAATGATGCAACTATCTGTTTTGTATGTCAGCTTCCGCAAAAGTTGTTGGTTTTTCCTCAGTAAATGTGGTTAGTTGATGCCAATACAATTCAGCAAACTTGTTTAACTAGTTAGTTAGCTGCATTGGGGAGGAGCACATGGAATCAACTAGCTATTTACATACAAAATCCAAAACATGCATCGCAATAGCTGCCAACTACAAAAATATTTGTTTAGCTACAGTTGATGTCGGAAGTTTACATACACTTAGGTTGGAGTCATGAAAACTCGTTTTTCAATCACTCCACACATTTCATGTTAACAAACTATAGTTTTGGCAAGTCGGTTAGGACATCTCCTTTGTGCATGACACAAGTAATTTTTCCGACAATTGTTTACAGACAGATTATTTCACTGTATCACAATTCCAATGGGGTCAGAAGTTTACATACACTAAATTGACTGTGCCTTTAAACAGCTTGGAAAATTCCAGAAAATTATGTCATGGCTTTAGAAGCTTCTGATAGGCTAATTGACATCATTTGAGTCAATTGGAGGTGTACCTGTGGATGTATTTCAAGGCCTACCTTCAAACTCAGTGCCTCTTTGCTTGACATCATGGGAAAATCTAAAGAAATCAGCCAAGACCTCAGAAAAACAATTGTAGACCTCCACAAGTCTGGTTCATCCTTGGGAGCAATTTCCAAACGCCTGAAGGTACCACGTTCATCTGTACAGACAATAGTACGCAAGTATAAACACCATGGGACCACGCAGCCGTCATACCGCTCAGGAAGGAGACGTGTTCTGTCTCCTAGAGATGAACGTACTTTGGTGCGAAAAGTGCAAATCAATCCCAGATCAACAGCAAAGGACCTTGTGAAGATGCTGGAGGAAACAGGTACAAAAGTATCTATATCCACAGTAAAACAAGTCCTATATCGACATAACCTGAAAGGCTCCTCAGCAAGGAAGAAGCCACTGCTCCAAAACCGCCATAAAAAAGCCAGACTACGGTTTGCAACTGCACATGGGGACAAAGATCATACTTTTTGGAGAAATTACCTCTGGTCTGATGAAACAAAAATAGAACTGTTTGGCAATAATGACCATCATTATGTTTGGAGGAAAAAGCGGTGGCTTGCAAGACGAAGAACACCATCCCAACCGTGAAGCACGGGGGTGGCAGCATCATGCTGTGGGGGTGCTTTGCTGCAGGAGGGACTGGTGCACTTCACAAAATAGATGGCATCATGAGGAAGGAAAATTATGTGGATATATTGAAGCAACATCTCAAGACATCAGTCAGGAAGTTAAAGCTTGGTCGCAAATGGGTCTTCCAAATGGACAATGACCACAAGCATACTTCCAAAGTTGTGGTAAATGGCTTAAGGACAACAAAGTCAAGGTATTGGAGTGGCCATCACAAAGCCCTGACCTCAATCCTATAGAACATTTGTGGGTAGAACTGAGAACGTGTGTGCGAGCAAGGAGGCCTACAAACCTGACTCCGTTACACCAGCTCTGTCTGGAGGAATGGGCCAAAATTCACCCAACTTATTGTGGGAAGCTTGTGGAAGGCTACCTGAAACGTTTGACCCAAGTTAAATAATTTAAAGGCAATGCTACCAAATACTAATACTTCTGACCCACTGGGAATGTGATAAAATAAATACTAAATACTACTATTATTCTGACATTTCACATTCTTAAAATAAAGTGGTGATCCTAACTGACTTAAGACAGGGCATTTTTTACTAGGATTAAATGTCAGGAATTGTGAAAAACTGAGTTTAAATGTATTTGGCTAAGGTGTATGTAAACTTCCGACTTCAACTGTATCTGTAGTGTAGCTTGTCTTATAGGAGATGCATGGGTTAGCAGATATTTCAAGACTTGTATAGTATTTTGGTCACATTGTACTCAGGTTGGCATGAATACATTTTTAATATAAATTTCTAAAGGAGATATTGTTTCTGTCACTGTGACATTCATTCATGATCTGTCACTGTACATGTTTTGGTTAATAGTGTCATATATAAACATGATCTGTTATTTGAGTATTATAAATGCATAATAACCTTTATGATTGAAATCTGGATTGACTACTGTCCATGTCATCACCAGGTTGCAGTATATCATAGGTTTAGATGACCACAACTTTTGAGCCTATAGAACTAAGAAAATTAACCAACTTTTCTAATCATCAGGGTGATTTTCTACAGTGTGATCAGCTCAGAGAAAGAGGAGCACTCAGACAAACTTAAACACACAAGACAAAGAGAAACGTTGGAGTCTCTGCGATGGCAGGAGGACGAAGAGGGGCGAACCGCACTGCTTACTGCAGGTCTCCACTGAGCAGTGAGCCAGGCTCGGTCGGCAACGGCAACCACTCTACCAGCTCCCCAGTCACAGGGGTGCGCTCTCGGACAAGGTGAGAGGACAAGGGCATAGTATGGGGTGTCTGGGTTCTGCATAGTGCACTGTGATATGTTGTTGTAAGAGTGATTTGTTTATGTTGCATAGTGAAAGGAAAGGGGATACCTAGTCAGTTGTAGAACTGAATGCATTCAACTGAAATGTGTCTTCCTCATTTAACCCAGCCCCTCTGAATGAGAGAGGTGCGGAGGGCTGCCTTAATCAACATCCACGTCTTCGGCGCCCTGGGAACAGTGGGTTAACTGCCTTCCTCAGGGGCAGAACGACAGATTTTTACCTTGTCAGCTCTGGGATTCGATCCAGCAACCTTTCGGTTACTGGCCAAATGCTCCTACCCGCCAGGCTACCTGCCGCCCCAGTGTGTAGGCCTATACCACAGTCCTGTTGTTATGGAGGGTGATAATAGTTATAGGCTATAGAGTCTTTAGATATGAACCTGTATTAACACAAAGTATTTTTGAAAGCCCTTGATCATGTGTGTTCTAGGAACTGCTCAGGAACGGGCATCTCCAGCCCCCCCTTGGCAGCCCATACGGTGGTCCCTCTGAAGCACTGCAAGATCCCAGAGTTATCCATGGACAGGAATGTGCTGTTCGAGCTGCACCTGTTCTTCTGCCACCTCATCGCCCTCTTTGTCCACTATGTCAACATCTACAAGACTGTGTGGTGGTACCCCCCCTCACATCCCCCCTCACACACCTCGCTGGTGAGTCCCCCCACTCTGACTCTCACTGACTGATGATGTTATCTGACTGTTGCTGTTAGCTGTCTGTAATCTGTCTGTTAGGGTTTGTTTGTGGCTCACTTTGGGAGGTGATTGGCTTGTGTATGGGTTTGTTTGGTTGTGTGTTTGGTGTCTTCATTACCATTATGTGTGGGTTTGTTTGGTTGTGTGGTGACTTCATTACCATTGTGTGAGGGTTTGATTGTATTTGACCACATATTAGTGGCAATAGTATCAGGTTTGATAATGTTACTGCAGATTTGATAAATGATTGACAATGTCCCGTTTAGGAGGAGGTCCGGGTGTGCATATTTGCAGTGTCCATTCTTTGTACTTTGACATCTGACAAATTACATCGGAAAAGGGATTCCTTTCCAAATGTTGTCACTATACTGTTATAAATTATGTCACTTCTCATGGCATGCTAACTTAGTTTCCAGTAAGTAATACAACATCATAATAAAATGTTTTGTCTGATGCAGAACTTCCACCTCATCGACTATAACATGCTGGTGTTCACAGTCATCATACTGGCTCGTAGGCTGATTGCAGCGATTGTAAAAGAGGTAGGAATTCACACCGCTTGGCAAGTTTTATATTATAGATTTGTTATAAACAATTCAACAATGTGCATCTCTTTAATAATGCAATTGTTATTCTGTGATATTGGTCAATGTATGTTTTTTTCCGGCACCTCTATCTGTTTCTGTTTTTCTCAAACCGCTCAGGTCTGTTTCTGTCCCTCAGGTGAATAATACCTTATTGGCATAACAAACATCATGTCTGTCTGACCCTGCCTCTCTCTCTCGGCCTCTCCAGGCGTCCCAGAGTGGGAAGCTCTCGTTCCCTCACTCCATCTTCCTAGTGATGGCACGGTTCGCTGTGCTCACACTGACGGGCTGGAGTCTGTGTCGCTCCCTCATATACCTCTTCAGGACCTACTCTGTCCTCAGCCTCCTCTTCCTCTGTTACCCGTGAGTATGGACCAGCCGTCAGGCCTCAATATCACAACCATTCAAGCCAGACTTCACAATGACACAGAGACAGTTATACATAGCGTACTACCTGCCAAACCACGTCACTAGTATCGACCTTCACTAGAGCTCAGAGCACTCATCACAGTACCGACTCAATTCAAGATTTGATTCCTATGATCTGAATAGACACAAATATACCCCTGTCAGTTTGGAATAGTTTGGGACCTGAAACCTCTGAAATCCCCTGTTTCCATAGGTTCGGTATGTACATTCCCTTTTTCCGGTTGAACTGCGACTTCCGCCGGGTGGGGCCACTCTCACCCATCACCAGCATCGGGTCGAAGGAGGTGGGCAGCGTGGGGCGCGGGCGGGACTACCTGACGGTGCTGAAAGAGACGTGGAAGCAGCATACCAGCCAACTGTATGGGGTCCAGGCCATGCCCACACATGCCTGCTGCCTCTCCCCAGACCTAATCCGTAAGGAGGTGGAGTACCTGAAGATGGACTTCAACTGGAGGATGAAGGAGGTGCTGGTCAGCTCCATGCTCAGTGCCTACTACGTGGCCTTCGTACCTGTATGGTTTGTTAAGGTGAGTAAATATAACTGACTTCCACTGTTATAACTGAGGAGTGTTATGTATGTTGCAGGATGCACTAGTCCAATTCTCTATGAAGTAGGGTGCTGTGATGACTGAGATTTGAGAAATTAGGGTCTACTGTCAGAGCTGTTTGTTTGTTTTGCCTCATAGGGCAGCATTGTTATATATCGCCAACTAGATATGTCAACATCATCAGATAGAATAGTTGCATTTCTTAATGCCTGCAGTTGTAATGTACTATATGTCTGAGGTGCTGTGTTTTTCTATCTTCGGATTCTGGTTGTGTGCTGGTCCTCTGAAGAGCACACAGTACGTGGACAAGCGCTGGTCCTGTGAGCTCTTCATCCTGGTGTCTGTCAGTACCTCAGTCATCCTCATGAGACACCTGCTGCCCCCGCGCTATTGTGACCTGCTCCACAAGGCTGCAGCACACCTGGGCTGCTGGCACAAAGTAGACCCTTCTCTCTGCTCCAATGTCCTGCAGCACATGTACGTACCACTAGTAAGGAGGCGTCACGGCCTGAGGAGCACTGATGATATCATTGAGGTTTTGGGAGGGATTATAACACTAATTACTCTAGTAATAACATGTTGTTAATTGTTGTATATTACTACAGTTATTACAGTGCTATGACACCGGTATAACAACTGAATATAAATCATTAATCTGGTATTTGAACCCTTTCTCTCCTACAGATGGACGGAGGAGTACATGTGGCCCCAGGGTGTCCTGGTCAAACACAATAAGAATGTTTACAAGGCCATGGGGCACTACAATGTGGCTGTCCCCTCAGACGTCTCCCACTATCGCTTCTATGTAAGTAACACCAACTGCAAGACTGTTGTTGTTTGAGCCTCAGGCAGCCACAGCTAAAGGGCTGGTTGTACTTCCAGAGATTGTTTGTTCAATAACAACATGCCTCCTCTTTTTTTTCTTCTATTTTTATCCTTTAGTTTTTCTTCAACAAGCCCTTACGAATATTGAACATCCTCATCATCTTGGAAGGTGCTATGATATTCTACCAGCTCTACTCGTTGATATGCTCAGAAAAGTGGCATCAGACGATATCCTTGGCTTTAATTCTCTTTAGCAACTACTACGCCTTCTTCAAGCTTCTCAGAGACAGAATAGTCTTAGGCAAGGCCTACTCATACTCAATCAGCTCATCCGACCAGAAGATAAGTTAAAGACAAGTTATTGTTGGTAATTTATCATGGAACAAGAAAAACATGCACGAAAGTGTCATTGTTGTTTTTGTTCTGATCTGCCATAATAAAAAATATAAATATTTTTGTATTCCTTTCAAGGTTGTGCCTGTGATTTTTTTTGTAGTTGAACTCTTGAGTTGACCATGCTATGTGGTGTCTCCGTTATGTTTGTTTTGTTTCCACTAGAGGGCTCTATACCACTCCCTACAACTGTTAACTATATTGACATCTGTTGGTGAAAATAAGTAATTTTTTCAATATAGATATTAGAAATGCAGCATTTCAATATATTCAAGGAGTGAATGATTAACAAAAAAAGTGTCAGTATATAGTGTATATATAGCTAGGTTGTGTTGCTCATTATTTTATTAAAATGTGACTTCGCAGAAGACATTGCTCCCTAAACCTGCTAATAACTTAATTCAAAAATTGTACAATTTCTTCATGGGCCTCAACTCTCTACAGGCTGGTGACATTTTTCTGAAGAGAGTATTGGTATTTTTCCAAGGGTATCTTGTGAAATAATGTTCAATTCACCCCTTTTTCTTGGCAAGCAGGTCTATCTGACTGAGTCACATTGAATGCACTGGAGCATCCTTCAACAACCATCCCATAGGACCTCAATTACCTGTCTTGCACTCTCCATTCAGGGCTTGACCACTCAGACTTGTGAAACCCTTAGAACAGGGTTCTTCAATTCCGGTCCTGGAGGGCCGAAACACCTCTGTTTTTCATCCTCTCCTTCTAATCAGGGGCTAATTCAGACCTGGGACACCAGGTGAGTGCAATTAACTACCAGCTAGAAATAAAAAACAGAAGTGTTTCGGCCCTCCAGGACCGGAATTGAAGAACCCCTGCCTTAGAATAATGTGACAATGGGTGGATTTGATTATGCTGAGCCGCACGGCACCGGTCTATGGCCCGTGACGTGAACGGGCAAAAGTGGTGAGGAAGAAGCACCCTTCTCAAATCGAACAGTAATCTGCGCTGCCGGCCATGTCAACAAGGCAGCATGGTACATCGTCCAGAAACATTCAACATCTCTTTTCTATAAACTAGTTTTCATTGGGAAGCCAGATAAAGCGTTTTTATCAAACGCAATCAGTTTTGCATGTGAAAACTTAATCCTACTCATTACTCCACGTGCTTAATTATGTCACTTTTTGAGACGACTTCACCATGGGCTTTGAAAGGGGCACCTGGCTCACGCCGGGAGGCAGCCTAGTTCCGAATGCAATCAACTTTCAACCGGTGCAAAACACGCCTACCTGGGCGCCTGGGTCAAAACTAACAGAATCCCCTCAATTATAGTGTATGTTCCCGCTCATTGGATCCCATTCCAATGGGGGGAAATGTAGTATCTGGCCCTTTTAAAAGCTGCAAAACGTTTATTTTTGGGCAACCCCACCAAATTCACAAATCAATTTTGATTATAGATCTGTTATCATTGAAAAAAAATCTAAGAAATGGTAGATCTATGTGTACTATTTCTATGCTTCCCGTCTTTAACTTTCGGTTTTGTACACCAGCTTCAAACAGATGAAAATACTATATTTTTGGTTTTCGAAAATATATTTCTCAGTTTAGATGGTACAATGATTCTCTACACTTCTTGCTTGTTTTGTTACATAACCTGATATTAGGCAAAATATTAGAATTTGTGCACATTTTACATTTTAGTCATTTAGCAGACGCTCTTATAGTTAGTGAGTGCATACACATTTTGTTCTTCCATATTGGCCCCCGTGGGAAACGAACCCACAACCCTGGCGTTGCAAGCGCCATGCTCTACCAACTGAGCTACAGGGGACCTTTTTAAAGGTACCATCTAGACCGCTGTGAAATATATTTTTTAATAACCAGAAATATTATTTTAAGCTGTTTGAAGCTGGTGTACAAAGCCGAAAGTAAACTAAATTTACAAACGGGAAGCATAGAAATAGCACACATAGAACAGTTCTACCCCTTCTTAGTCTTAAGAATGACATATCTATAAATTACATTTCTATGTGAATTTGGTCGGGAAGTCCAAAAAGTTATATATTGCAACTTTAAGTGCAGGATAAAGACAGCTCTGTGGTTGGTCAGTGCGCTCCAAGTGCCACACTTGGGATTGTATACTGAACAAAAATATAAATGCAACATGTAAAGTCTTGGTCCCATGTTTCATGAGCTGAAATAAAAGATCCCAGAAATTTTCCATACGCACCAAAAGCTTATTTCTCTCAAATTGTGTGCACAAATTCGTTTACATTCCTGTTAGTGAGCATTTCTCCTTTGCCAAGATAATCCGTCCACCTGACAGGTGTGGCATATCAAGAAGCTGATTAAAAAGCATGATCATTACACAGGTGCACCTTGTGCTGGGGACAATAAAAGGCCATTCTGAAATGTGCCGTTTTGGCACACAACACAATGCCACAGTAATTAGCATGCTGACTCTAGGAATGTCCACCAGAGCTGTTGCCAGATAATTGAATGTTCATTTCTCTACCATAAGCCGCCTCCAACGTCGTTTTAGAGAATTTGGCAGTACGTCCAACCGGCCTCACTACCGCAGACCTCGTGTAACCACTCCAGCCCAGGACCTCCACATCCGGCTTCTTCACCTGCGGGATCATCTGTGACCGACCACCCGGACAGCTGATGAAAGTGAGGACTATTTCTGTCTGTAATAAATGCGTTTTGTGGGGGAAAACTCATTCTGATTGGCTGGGCCTGGCTCCCCAGTGGGTGGGCCTATGCCCTCCCAGGCTGCGTCCCTGCCCAGTCATGTGAAATACATAGAATATGGCCTAATGAATTTATTTCGATTGACTGATTTCCTTATATGAACTGTAACTCAGTAAAGTCGTTGAAATTGTTGCATGTTGTGTTTATATTTTTGTTCAGTATATTTAGGGTTTTCTATGAGGTTCTTGGACACAAGACTCGTGTAGTTTTTTCCAAATTAGACACCCTCAACCTTAATGAGAAACATTTTATAGGGAAAAGTGACGAGGTGTTCATTCAGCAGATTTTTCGTGCGTTTTACATTCGGTAAGTGATCTATTGTCTTCCGATAGACAAATTCATTTGTTCATGTCATTGACATGGTTTACTGCAAATTTAGATTTTTATTGATTTATATTATGCACTTCTTTTTCTTACTTGTAGTTTACAATATTGCGAGTGAATTACAGTGCCTTGCAAAAGTAACCATGAATACTCGAGGCTGTAATCGCTGCCAATGGTGCTTCAACAAAGTACTGAGTAAAGGGTCTGAATACTTATGTAAATGTGATATTCCAATTTGCATACCACCCCAACAGAGTCACAGATTATGCAATCTCTATTGCACTCCACACTGCCATTTCCCACCTGTACAAAAGGAACACCTACGTGAGAATGCTATTCATTGACTACAGCTCAGCGTTCAACACCATAGTGCCCTCAAAGCTCATCACTAAGCTAAGGACCCTGGGACTAAACACCTCCCTCTGCAACTGGATCCTGGACTTCCTGACGGGCCGCCCCCAGGTGGTAAGGGTAGGTAACAACACATCTGCCACGCTGATCCTCAACACGGGGGCCCCTCAGGGGTGCGTGCTCAGTCCCCTCCTGTACTCCTTAAGGCTTCTTAACAGCTTCTACCCCCAAGCCATAAGACTCCTGAACATCTAATCAAATGGCTACCCGGACAATTTGCATTCCCCCCCACCCCCTCTTGCTGCTACTCTCTGTTTATTATCTATGCATAGTGACTTTACCTCTACACACATGTACACTACCGTTCAAAAGTTTGAGGTCACTTAGAAATGTCCTTGTTTTTAAAAGAAAATCACCTTTTTTGTCCATTAAAATAACATCAAATTGATCAGAAATACAGTGTAGACACAGTTAATGTTGTAAATGGCTATTGTAGCAGGAAACGGCTGATTTTTTTATGGAATATCTGCATATAATCAGTCCTGTGTTCCAATGGTACGTTGTGTTTGCTAATCCAAGTTTATCATTTTAAAAGGCTAATTGATCATTAGAAAAACCTTTTGCAATTATGTTAGCACAGTTGAAAAATGTTGTGCTGATTAAAGAAGCAATAAAACTGCCCTTCTTGAGACTAGTTGAGTATCTGGAGCATCAGCAATTGTGGGTTCGATTACATGCTCAAAATGGCCAGAAACAAATCACTTTCTTCTGAAACTTGTCAGTCTATTCTTGTTCTGAGAAATGAAGGCTATTCCATGCGAGAAATTGCCAAGAAACTGAAGATCTCGTACAATGCTGTGTACTACTCCCTTCACAGAACAGCACAAACTGTCTCTAACCAGAATAGAAAGAGGAGTGGGAGGCCCCGGTGCACAACTGAGCAAGAGAACAAATACATTAGAGTGTCTAGTTTGAGAAACAGACGCCTCACAGGTCCTCAACTGGCAGCTTCATTAAATAGTACCTGCAAAACACCAGTCTCAACATCAACAGTGAAGAGGCGACTCTGGGATGCTGACCTTCTAGGCAGAGTTGCAAAGAAAAAGCCATATCTTAGACTGGCCAATAAAAAGACAGTGGAAAAAACACTGGACAGCGGAAGATTGGAAAAAAGTGGTATGGACAGACGACTCGAAGTTTGAGGTGTTCGGATCACAAAGAAGAACATTTGTGAGACGCAGACCAAATGAAAAGATGCTGGAGGAGTGCTTGATGCCATCTGGGGGTGCTTTGGTGGTGGTAAAGTGGGAGATTTGTACACGGTAAAGGGATCTTGAAGAACGAAGGCTATCACTCCATTTTGCAACGCCATGCCATACCCTGTGGACGGCGCTTGATTGGACCGAATTTCCTCCTGCATCAGGACAATGACCCAAAGCACAGCTCCAAACTATGCAAGAACTATTTAGGGAAGAAGCAGTCATCTGGTATTCTGTCTATAATGGAGTGGCCAGCACAGTCACCGGATCTCAACCCTATTGAGCTGTTGTTGGAGCAGCTTGATCGTATGGTACGTAAGAAGTGCCCATCAAGCCAATCCAATTTGTGGTAGGTGCTCCAGGAAGCATGGGGTGAAATCTCTTCAGATTTCCTCAACAAATTGACAACTAGAATGCCAAAGGTCTGCAAGGCTGTAATTGCTGCAAATGGAGGATTCTTTGACGAAAGCAAAGTCTGAAGGAGACAATTATTATTTCAATTAAAAATCATTATTTCTAACCTTGTCAATGACTACATTTCCTATTCATTTTTCTATATTTCCTATTCAAACTCATTTCATGTATGTTTTCATGGAAAACAAGGACATTTCTAAGTGACCCCAAACTTTTGAACGGTAGTGTACATGTTACCTCAATTACCTTGACTAACCTGTACCCCCACACATTGACTCTGTACCGGTACCCCCTGTATATAGCCTCAATACTGTTATTTTACTGCTGCTCTTTAATTATTTGTTATTTTTCTATTTTGCATATATATCTTTTTTTATTTGTAGTGATCTATTTTTTACTTAACACTTATTTTTCTTAAAACTTCATTGTTGGTTAAGGGCTTGTAAGTAAGCATTTCACTGTAAGGTCTACTACACCTGTTGTAGTCTTTTGTGACAAATCAATTTCGATTTGATTTGATTTCTTTCTGTTTAAAAAAAAATGTTATTAGCAAAAATGTATAAAAACCTGTTTTTGCTTTGTCATTATGGGTTATTGTGTATAGATTGATGAGGGAAAAAAACTATTTCATCCATTTTAGAATAAGGCTGTAAAGTAACAAAATGTGGAAAAAGTCAAGGGGTCTGAATACTTTCCGAATGCACTGTATATAAAATCATTACACATGCATGATTATCCACAGGTTCTCAGCTACAGAAGTTGAAAGACTTGTTTGCAATCTGTTGTCAGACCAATTACAAGGAAATTATGCATTCTAAAAATTCCTCTCAGTGGAACTGTTTCACACAAGCCTGTTGTACAGGGACAGGCATTCTAAAATTAAGCCTCACCATTGGACGTTTTTTCACACAAGCCTATATTATTACCTGGATGTGTGACCTTGTTCACCTTGAAAATGTAAAAAGCTAGTCAAAATTATGAATATTTGAGAATATTGCTAAAGCTCTGGTGGGGGTATTAGGTTATGTACATTCACCCTGGCAGCCATCCAGCCATGAATCTCCTGCCGTTAACCCCTTTGTTGTTTTCCAGAGGATTGTGTGTCAGTGACACGAGGCTACTTCAATGGAGCAGCCTACATTGACTTGCAGAATTCAAGATACAGCAAGTACTACCTTTTAAAATTAGAGAATTACATTGATTTGACATTTAGCAAGTCTACCAAGTAAAATGTATGTTGGTTGGTGGTTCACTCATTACTGATTTTACATTGTCCTAGCTTACAATCCATAGAGAAACTGTTATGATTATACTTTTACATACAGTACATTTACTTAGCTCACACCATGTTCATCCTCCAAGCCCTCTCCAGTCCTGTCAGGGAAGGGAAGCACTAGCTCCTGACTTCCTACCTTTGTTGTTGTTACAGGACGTCCTGAAGCTTAGGCAAAGTCCACTCATTTTACCCAGAGGTCTTCACACTGACAAGCCATGGAGGACAAGCGCAACAAGAGGAGCCCCAAAGTGTCTCTCCCCCAGCCCCCTCCTCCCCCAGTCAACCCCCACAAGCTCTCAGTCCTCCCCTCCAGCAAGAGTGCCACATTCTCCCTTGGCCTCCCCCAACCCCCCTCCCCAAAAAACAGAGGCAAGCTCAAGAGGTCCATCGGAGCAGCAGGACAGTCCAAAGATGTGGTCGTAGCAGCTCCACCAAAGACCACAAGGTTTGGAACAGTCACAATGTCTAATTTTACAGGTCAGTCAAATTGGGATTGTATGAATGTTGTATTAGGGTACAGGTTTGACCAGCTTAATGTTTGCTAAACCCCTGTTTTCTGTTGGTTCCTGTTGTCTGGCTTCTTTACACCAGGCCTAATAAGGAGAAGGCCAGTGCTCCCCAGCCAGCAGGGCCCAGTCCTCTCCACTGCAGCACTCCTTCCTTACGGACATCTCTGATGTGAGAGAGATGGAGGGAGGCCTCCTCAACCTGCTCAATGACTTTATGGTAATCAATTATGTATCATTAAGGCAAAATGTTGGGAAATGTCAAAGGTAAAATATAGTAAACATGATTGACATTCTATAATCCAGATGCATGTTTAAATAAGGAAATATCCAATACAGTGTGTAACCATGCCTTAATGCATGTATGTGTATTATTTTTAAGAGGGGGTCTGCCACCAATATAATGAGATATGAGAGAGAGGCCTCATATGGAAACGCGCCCATGGCCTTTTGGAGTAAACCACATGTGACATCTGGACATTGAAAGATAAGGGTAGAGTGGCACTAAAATAAGTTAATCATTTGCCCTAAGGGGTGACTGTATATGCTATGTAACATTATTATGCATTTGTGTATAAAAGGGAGCTCTAAGCCAAAGAGAGACAGCCGTTCCATGGAGTGGCTCGGCTTTGTTACGCAAATAATAAAGTCTAATTTTTGGATTCACAAGCTCCAGTCTCTTGAGAGATATTTTTGAGTTGACTACTTTTGAGTCAAATATTTCCACGACATAATTGGCGAGCTTGCCAGGAGTTGAAAACAGAGACCAGAGACGGTGTACATCTGCAGTTGTGAAACGGCTTGGACGGACCATACAAACAAAAGCGGCCGCTTTTAAAAGGTAAGCCAAGTTCTTACTTATATAGTATAAAGTTTGTGTGGTTCGATCCGGGGTCCGGCATCAGCAGCAGAATACCAAGTAGGTCTCTCCAAATTTAAGAACCAGAAAATTAGAGACTGGGAGCTTTTGGATTTAAGAATACATGTCGATGTCACTCTGTTGTTCGTCTGAACCGTCTGTTCAATTCATTTGATTCATTTGATTCATCCTGCTGATCGCTTTGTCTGGGTCATTTCGGCACGGGCGGCTGTCCATCTGGTTGAGCGATCAGACAATAACATGTTAGAACGTCCTACAAATACCGCTCTAAACGTGTCGAGGAAGTGTATCGTTAATAGGCTGCTTAGGTAGGCAGAAATCCTGTGCAATACCGCTTATTTTCTGTGTCGAGGATGTGTATCAGAAAAAAAGGGCTGAATTTGCAGGTCGCTTAGGAAAGCGTAAGGTATAAGTCCAGGTGTGTCGAGGAAGTGTATCACCTAGGGGGCTAAATAAATAGATATCCTGTATAAAATCGTCTTTCTTGTGTCGGGGAAGTGAATCAGAAAGGGTCGATCAGGTAAAAAGATAGGTCATCCGGAGAAGGTGACGCCATAAATTGGAAGTTAACACCGGTCATCCTGAGTAGGTGAACGGGTTAAACAGTCACTAAGGCTTCAAAATATAGAGAATGTGTTAGATAGAGTTGGTCTGATCATCTCATGTGGATGAGTGGTTTGCTTGGGCTACTGTGAGTCATTCAACTGTCTGATTCATTTGGGCACAAGTGGCTGCTCATCTGTGTGAGTGAGAATAATAAGAAATCCTGCAAGTAAATAGCCTTTCTGTAAGGAAAGGAACTATATTTGAGGTCGTTTGAAGCTTCTGCCTGGTGGAGAAAGGGCATGCCCAATCTCGCATTAGGAAAAAGAAGAATATGGATGTGGATATACATTTACCAACTGAGTGGAAAATTCACATTACTAGGAGGGGTATGAGGAATCTGGTTGGAGGAACAGGTCACGTGTACCGGTGTGATCATATGACGTCTATGCATTGTATTTTGATCAATCTTTTAGGGTGTGTTTCTGAGATTATATTTGGAAACTTTAGAGGTGATGTAGTATTGTGACAAATTGACTACAGTTAAATAATAACTGCAATAGGGTTAACATTCCAAATTTGGGCCCTTTGATAGAATAAAATATTCCTGTAGGTTATACAAAAGTAATTAAGTGCGTTTGAGAACAACAGAGTCGCACTCTGAAGTTTGAATGATGAGATATAGAGGTGTGTATGATCATTATATATAAATTGGAATAATAAGCTTTTCTTGTATATGATATCTTGGAGTTTCGTACAACAATGCCTGTCATAGAATTTTGTAAGATCAGTGAATAGTGACCAGCCTATATGATTCTGGGAGGATTCTATGACTGAGGGGAAGGATTTGGGTAATTAGTTGTTGTTCCGCTGAGACTAGATTATGATTAACGGATTTGTGGTAATAAAGAATCATTAGAAACATGAATGGTTTGGTAGATGTGAATATATTAGAATAGAATGCATTTTATGGGAGTGTAATTTATTATGAGGGATAAAATAATAGGTGTTGATTTGCACACCCAAACACGTAGACGTATGTGGGGGATGGGAGACAGTACATAGAGCATGTGGTAGAATTAAGCATTATAATAAGCTATCTATTATTTCAGAAGCAGAGGTGATATAGTCAAGGAATTTTAGTATATTAGGGGGAAAATATAATTCATTTGGTTAGGTCATTAGATCTGTTTCCAAATCAATGAATGTGGGTTTGACTCGTTGACTGCTAAGTTGTTTACGTTGAGCGTGTGAGATCTGTGTCCTTCAAAGCTATTTTCTGATAAAGTGTGGTATGTGCCAGATACTAAAACTTCTGACCATTATCATTGGAATAAAGGAGGATTAACTTGTAATTTCAATAAAGCATAGATTCTGCATCGCTGATTAGAGTCTAGGTTTTCTAAGTATAGTTCAACTATGGTTGTGGGTTGTTTAGATTGACGGAACAGTCAGGATAAGACTGGATGATTTAGCAGCCTGCGTCTTTTCAGACTGAAGGACTCACTTATTCAACGGGAAAGAAGGAGGAGTGTCTATAGTCTAATCAGAAAGGACAGTTACATACATTTGAATAGCGGACTGGCAATTGCGATAGAGTTATGGCCATAATTTGAATTGTTTAGGTAGACTGGAATGAAAGTAAGGTCTTTTAATAATATGAATATAAATATGCTATTAGTTATTGTTGGGTTGTGAATAGACTTTACTAATGCCATGATCTAGTTCTCGGGTAAAAGAGAGTCGTACTTGCTTGACTGTATCGAGCTGAAAGAGATATTTGAAGCAAGTTTGAATAGTTGGATGGAAAACATTTATTTGACAAATTCTAATTGTTATTACTTTATTCTATTAGTGACACCAGTGATGTATGCGAATAGTTGGTGAATTCTAGAACGATAATTTATTTTCGTTACGTGAACCAGGGGATGCAAGGAGCTTTGGCTATTATGCTGAGGGAATAGCACCAATTTATAGTGGGTTCTAGATTTGTTGAATAAACAAACTTATATTTTAAACTAAAGTAATGCAATAGGCTACAATTATAACATTATCAGAAAAAGGCACTATACGCTCATCTGTGGTCCTCTGTAGCTCAGTCGGTAGAGCATGAGACTCTTAATCTCAGGGTAGTGGGTTCGATCCCCGGGATCACCCATACACAAAAATGTATGCACGCATGACTGTAAGTCGCTTTGGATAAAATCGTCTGCTAAATGGCATATTATTATTATCTGGAAAAAGCAAATTTAAGACACAGAAGGACAATAAAAAACCCAGAAAAATAATGGATATTGAGGGGCCCAGAGAATCCTAAAGGGGAGGGTCAGCTAGTGGCAGTAACTATGCAGGCTGATGAAGAACCTATGCTAAAGGTTCAGATGAAGAATAGAGGCACCCCAATGATGATAGATACTGAAGCAACTTACTCATGTGTAAATCCAAATGATGCCTCTCACTAACCCCATGTCAGGCAAAGATGCACAGACAATAGAATTTTCATGACAAACGCAGTTAATACATATGACAGTTCCAGTAGAATAAGAAGTAGGAAAAATATACGTGTACATATATTAGTGTCAGAACAAATTCCAGTTAATTTAGTAGAAAGAGATACACTGTGTAGAATGGGGGTCCAGATTAAATGCAGATCAGAGGGACTAATAATAGTTAAGGAAGGGGTATGTCCACAGAAGGTAATGGGGAAACCATCATCACATTAGTAAACTATTTTGGTAGAAGGGGGGCCACAGGCATGTGGGAAAGTACAACCAACGAGGCAAGGGATAGCATATTTGAGTTTTCGATGTCACGAAGCATGTTGGGGGTGATTGAGTGGGAAACAGTGCGGCTAAGGAAAAGCCTAGGGGTTTAAGTCTTATGGGATTTTATTTCGTTTTATGTGCGCTGAATTGTGGAATTCACCGGAGAAGGGAGCAGTCACAAGTGATGTTCTTGAGGGTTGTCGGAAAGGAGGGATCAGGAGATGTGGCAAGAGAGTGAGAATTTCGAATTTAGATTGTGTGGACTGATTAAGAGGTATCGAAATGGAAACTAACTAAATGTGTACTTTTTCTTCCAGGAAAAAGGGGGGAGTGATTCTCTTTTCTTTGAAATATTTTCTGAGACTATACAGTGGGGAAAAAAGTATTTAGTCAGCCACCAATTGTGCAAGTTCTCCCACTAAAAAGATGAGAGAGGCCTGTAATTTTCATCATAGGTACACGTCAAATATGACGGACAAATTGAGAAAAAAAAATCCAGAAATTCACATTGTAGGATTTTTAATGAATTTATTTGCAAATTATGGTGGAAAATAAGTATTTGGTCACCTACAAACAAGCAAGATTTCTGACTCTCACAGACCTGTAACTTCTTCTTTAAGGGGCTCCTCTGTCCTCGACTCGTTACCTTTATTAATGGCACCTGTTTGAACTTGTTATCAGTATAAAAGACACCTGTCCACAACCACAAACAGTCACACTCCAAACTCCACTATGGCCAAGACCAAAGAGCTGTCAAAGGACACCAGAAACAAAATTGTAGACCTGCACCAGGCTGGGAAGACTGAATCTGCAATAGGTAAGCAGCTTGGTTTGAAGAAATCAACTGTGGGAGCAATTATTAGGAAATGGAAGACATACAAGACCACTGATAATCTCCCTCGATCTGGGGCTCCACGCAAGATCTCACCCCGTGGGGTCAAAATTATCACAAGAACGGTGAGCAAAAATCCCAGAACCACATGGGGGGACCTAGTGAATGACCTGCAGAGAGCTGGGACCAAAGTAACAAAGCCTACCATCAGTAACACACTACGCCGCCAGGGACTCAAATTCTGCAGTGCCAGACGTGTCCCCCTGCTTAAGCCAGTACATGTCCAGGCCCATCTGAAGTTTGCTAGAGTGCATTTGGATGATCCAGAAGAGGATTGGGAGAATGTCATATGGTCAGATGAAACCAAAATAGAACTTTTTGGTAAAAACTCAACTCGTCGTGTTTGGAGGACAAAGAATGCTGAGTTGCATCCAAAGAACACCATACCTACTGTGAAGCATGGGGGTGGAAACATCATGCTTTGGGGCTGTTTTTCTGCAAAGGGACCAGGACGACTGATCCGTGTAAAGGAAAGAATGAATGGGGCCATGTATCGTGAGATTTTGAGTGAAAACCTCCTTCCATCAGCAAGGGCATTGAAGATGAAACGTGGCTGGGTCTTTCAGCATGACAATGATCCCAAACACACCGCCCGGGCAACGAAGGAGTGACTTCGTAAGAAGCATTTCAAGGTCCTGGAGTGGCCTAGCCAGTCTCCAGATCTCAACCCCATAGAAAATCTTTGGAGGGAGTTGAAAGTCCGTGTTGCCCAGCAACAGCCCCAAAACATCACTGCTCTAGAGGAGATCTGCATGGAGGAATGGGCCAAAATACCAGCAACAGTGTGTGAAAACCTTACAGAAAACGTTTGACCTGTGTCATTGCCAACAAAGGGTATATAACAAAGTATTGAGAAACTTTTGTTATTGACCAAATACTTATTTTCCACCATAATTTGCAAATAAATTCATTAAAAATCCTACAATGTGATTTTCTGGATTTTTCTTTCTCATTTTGTCTGTCATAGTTGACGTGTACCTATGATGAAAATTACAGGCCTCTCTCATCTTTTTAAGTGGGAGAACTTGCACAATTGGTGGCTGACTAAATACTTTTTTCCCCCACTGTAAATAAGGCCTGGCCATTCTTTGTTTGTTTATTGTTTTACTATATGGTGTTCGAATAACCACAAACAAACCACTTAGTATGAAATGTTAGCTGTATAGGATTTGTATTTGTATTTTGGGTTTTTTGACGGGATGGAAGTGAAATATCTTAAAGGGGCATACACATGTAATTTGGGTTTTTATTTATTCAGGGATAAGTAAATGTGTGTGATTTATTTTGAAAAGAGCTGTACTAAGGACTTACTGTATACTTGGGATACAACATTTATGAAATGTCTTGATGGTTGTTAATGAGTAGTATACTATTGGATGAAACAATTCATTGAATGATTTCAATGACCTCTGAAATCTGTCCTGGCTTTATAGTGTGACCTGATCACCCGCACTGTAAATTCTAGAGACATGCTGAATTAGGGGGTTAGATATAATAAGGATAATTGTGAAGAAGTTTATAAGTTGGAAAAAATCCTATATACACTGCTCAAAAAAATAAAGGGAACACTAAAATAACACATCCTAGATCTGAATGAATGAAATAATCTTATGAAATACTTTTTTCTTTATATAGTTGAATGTGCTGACAACAAAATCACACAAAAATTATCAATGGAAATCAAATGTATCAACTCATGGAGGTCTGGATTTGGAGTCACCCTCAAAATTAAAGTGGAAAACCACACTACAGGCTGATCCAACTTTGATGTAATGTCCTTAAAACAAGTAAAAATTAGTCTCAGTAGTGTGTGTGGCCTCCACGTGCCTGTATGACCTCCCTACAACGCCTGGGCATGCTCCTGATGAGGTGGCGGATGGTCTTCTGAGGGATCTCCTCCCAGACCTGGACTAAAGCATCCGCCAACTCCTGGACAGTCTGTGGTGCAACGTGGCGTTGGTGGATGGAGCGAGACATGATGTCCCAGATGTGCTCAATTGGATTCAGGTCTGGGGAACGGGCGGGCCAGTCCATAGCATCAATGCCTTCCTCTTGCAGGAACTGCTGACACACTCCAGCCACATGAGGTCTAGCATTGTCTTGCATTAGGAGGAACCCAGGGCCAACCGCACCAGCATATGGTCTCACAAGGGGTCTGAGGATCTCATCTCGGTACCTAATGGCAGTCAGGCTACCTCTGGCGAGCACATGGAGGGCTGTGCGGCCCCCCAAAGAAATGCCACCCCCACACCATGACTGACCCACCGCCAAACCGGTCATGCTGGAGGATGTTGCAGGCAGCAGAACGTTCTCCACGGCGTCTCCAGACTCTGTCACGTCTGTCACATGTGCTCAGTGTGAACCTGCTTTCATCTGTGAAGAGCACAGGGCGCCAGTGGCGAATTTGCCAATCTTGGTGTTCTCTAGCAAATGCCAAACGTCCTGCACGGTGTTGGGCTGTAAGCACAACCCCCACCTGTGGACGTCGGGCCCTCATACCACCCTCATGGAGTCTGTTTCTGACCGTTTGAGCAGACACATGCACATTTGTGGCCTGCTGGAGGTCATTTTGCAGGGCACTGGCAGTGCTCCTCCTGCTCCTCCTTGCACAAAGGCGAAGATAGCAGTCCTGCTGCTGGGTTGTTGCCCTCCTACGGCCTCCTCCACGTCTCCTGATGTACTGGCCTGTCTCCTGGTAGCGCCTCCATGCTCTGGACACTACGCTGACAGACACAGCAAACCTTCTTGCCAAAGCTCGCATTGATGTGCCATCCTGGATGAGCTGCACTACCTGAGCCACTTGTGTGGGTTGTAGACTCCGTCTCATGCTACCACTAGAGTGAAAGCACCGCCAGCATTCAAACGTGACCAAAACATCAGCCAGGAAGCATAGGAACTGAGAAGTGGTCTGTGGTGACCAACTGCAAAACCAGTCCTTTATTGGGGGTGTCTTGCTAATTGCCTATAATTTCCACCTGTTGTCTATTCCATTTGCACAACAGCATGTGAAATGTATTGTCAATCAGTGTTGCTTCCTAAGTGGACAGTTTGATTTCACAGAAGTGTGATTGACTTGGAGTTACATTGTGTTGTTTAAGTGTTTCCTTTAGTTTTTTGAGCAGTGTATATATTAGTCCAAACAGGACAAGGATGAAGTGAGAGAGTTAGTCCTGAAGGAGAGGTATTCCTTGAATAGTGTTATGGGATACAGTTAAGTAAAGATATGCTCAAAGGTTGTCATTTTAAGTTTAGTTATTATTTTTTGTTTGATAGGCAATATTGTTGTTGTTTTGTTTTTTGAACACATGAATCACGATGTGATGCATGTGTCCAAGGGGGGAAGTTGGGCTTACAGAGGTTTTAATGGGGCTTACAGAGGTTTTAATGTTTTATAATGGTTTTGTGGGGAAATATGCAAGGTGCATTAAGGATATGAGCAGTAGTAATAATGTGTTATGGGTTAGGTTAAATCTTTTTTGTTTTTGTGATAGGAGGCATGGTGTAGGGGAGGTCTGTCTATGAAATAAGTGGACTACAACAAACTGGAAGCAGGTGCTTCATAATCTCAAGGCTTCTCCTGATGGATGAGAGGACATAAGTAGCATACTGTGTCTCACCTAACCTAACAATGTTCTTAAGATTTTATTTTCATGGGTGAAGATAACTCTGCCCAACTGAGTAGGAGAATCTGAGCATTTTCTGCACCCTGGAGACTATGTGATGGCAAAAGACTACAGAAGAAAGAGCTGGAAAGACCCTATGTGGAGGGGCCTGTACCAAGTGTTGTTGGCTACCTTAATGATGGTAAAAGTGGTGGAGACAGATACTTAGATCCATGTTTCCCACTATAGGAGTGTTCCAACCTCGGCCATTGGGTAGTATTGTTGTCTTTTGTGCGTGTCTGTGCTTGTGTGTCTTTGCAGCAGTAACTCTGAGCTTCCCTATGGGTAGGCTGATAGAAGGACACTCTTCGCAGACCGATGTCGATAGATTGAGAGGGACTCTGGCTGATCCGGAGACCCTAGTGATGGAAGACGGTTAACAGCTACAGTGACCATACATCGTTGTCCAGGTTACACCAACGGCGGTACGGATAGAGGGGAGCGCGATCGGGTATCATCTGAACCATTGTACCAGAGTGAGGGAACTGATGACTAAGAGACCACCGAGACTTTCAAGACCTCCCAAGACCTTCCAGACCGCCGAGAGATTCCAGACCACCGAGAGATTCCAGACCTCCAAGACACACCAGATATCCTCATCATTGATTTCTCTGTACTTGACTAGTTCCCTGAGAATAAGGGGAATGGGTTACTGATAATAGTAAAGAGTAGAAGAACAAGACATAGAAGGGATATAGACAGGATTAAAATGTATATTCTTGCACAGGCAGGAACCATAACTAAAATACAGGAAGGGATCACTATTAAAATACAAGGGTTAAAATATTATTGGTGTGTGAGGAACCAGCACAAAGAGTATGGGGAAGTCACATGGGGTAGTGTGACCTTAAGATAATGAAAGAAAGAGACAGGTGAATCATAGACATAAGGAGAACAGTCCAAGACTTAGATAAACAATTTGATGTAGTATTTAGTGTTAGATTTCCAGGGGGAAGTGTTATTGGAGTAGTTATTCCTTGGGAAAGTGCACTAAATCCTGTACATGTCAGAGCCATACCAAATACAGAAGAAAGGGAATTGAAGGAGCCGTTAAACAATGATTGGTATAGATGAGTACAATATGTTGCATTAAAATAAAATAAAATAAAATAGTCTAATATGCACCACATCTCCATTTAAAGAATTAACAGTAGTTCAAAATCTTCACAGTTACCAAAATAACTGGAACTGGAAAATATAGGAATGTTACAGTAAAACAATTGGGTTATATAATTTGGGAGAATTCAAGGTAGAATGTGAAACTAGGGGGTGTTTAAACAGATAGCCTTTGGAATACAGGGACCCCTCAAAGAAAAATCTATCAGGCATTAGATAGAAATGGGTATTAAGAATGAGTGATGAAACATAATGATTTGTCATGTAAACAATGTTAATAGGGATGTTTTGGATTGGAAATTAACTCAACTAAACTGTTATGATCTGTCCTTTCCTGAGGTTACTACGGGTGGTGTCGTAATGCATAGCAGAGATAATTCGGTCCAGAACGGTGTAAACCTCAATAAAAACCAAAAACCCTCTACCCGGCTGAAGAGGAACAACAAAGGCGGTGAAGACGTTCCTGTCCGACACCACCTCTGCCAGGAGACCTGAATCCAGCATCAAATCAAAGCAATCAATTGCCTTCTCTTTTGTGCCTTTTCTCTCAAGAATGTGACAGGAGACCATGTGGAGTGAGCAGGAAGAGAGAGGTCTATGCCAATGCAACATTCTTCGTAGTTTGGGTATACTGGTTGGCAAATGGACAAAACAGAATGGGGGTAGAGGTGAGGTGGTTCAGGTGTGACATTGGAATGGGAACATTGCCATGGGCAATCCAAGATGAACTATGATGCTATCTGAAGAACATAATGAAGACGCCAGAAGATTGAGTGCCGGTAGAGGAAGGAAGTGTTAGTTGAGGTAGTATGTTGATTAAGGAGGTATTATACACTGCTAAATTTATAGTAATTTAGACTAGGAATGCATTAAGATACTGATCTGTTGTAATTCTCATTATGAGATAGTTAATGCTAGAATTGTGATAATATAAATATACATTCTGCCAGTGTCAATATGTGCCAAGGTGAGAGTTTTAACTTTGAATGATGGAACCAAGGTGACTTTGTCATTCTAAAGTTGTTTTGGGTAATTCATTTGATTATGATTATAAATTATAAGTGGACTGATTGATCTGAATAAGTTATTAATATTAATGCCTAGTGATGTTGACATTGCAATTAATGGATTAGATATTGATATTGATTATTTTGATTGTTATAATACTTGTGATATGGGTGAAAAAGGTTATGTAAGCTAAAGATATTGACACCATTCTTAACATGTCCTAGATATTATTGTTAAGACAAAGTTGCATATTTTAATGTGTTAGGATACTAACAGATATATGGGAAATGCTATAACTAAACAAAAGTGGGGAGCAATGTTTATAAAGAAATACATCCAGTTCAGGGAGCTCCAGGACAGTATGTAAATGAATATGGGAAATTTTGTAAATGTTAAGGGAGGACCAATGGACTGTCCATTTGGGAATCCTGAATGTTTTTATGAAGTTGTTCCTGGGGGTGGATGGGCCTGCCATGGTTACAAAGCCCAATAGAAAAATGTGGAGGTAAATTTAGAGGAAAACCTTCCAGACTTGTATCCAATACCTGACTGGGCTCTGGGTCCTCATCAGGATGGGTCAAACAATGAGGAATATATATTGGTTTAAATATATGCATAAAAAAAGTAACCACATATGGCAAGGCTAAGAATAAGTAAATGCACAGGCTTACATTCATTTTAAAGTAAATCTTTGTATTATTGGGACATTGTTGGAATGTCCCAAAGGGGGGATTATATGGTAATAAATTATGTATCATTAAGGCAAAATGTTGGGAAATGTCAAAGGTAAAATATAGTAAACATGATTGACATTCTATAATCCAGATGCATGTTTAAATAAGGAAATAGACAATACAGTGTGTAACCATGCCTTAATGTATGTATGTGTATTATTTTTAAGAGGGGGTCTGCCACCAATATAATGAGATATGAGAGAGAGGCCTCATATGGAAAAGTGCCCATGGCCTTTTGGAGTAAACCACATGTGACATCTGGACGTTGAAAGATAAGGGTAGAGTGGCACTAAAATAAGTTAATCATTTGCCCTAAGGGGAGTGACTGTATATGCTATGTAACATGATTATGCATTTGTGTATAAAAGGGAGCTCTAAGCCAAAGAGAGACAGCCGTTCCATGGAGTGGCTCGGCTTTGTTACGCAAATAATAAAGTCTAATTTTTGGATTCACAAGCTCCAGTCTCTTGAGAGATATTTTTGAGTTGACTACTTTTGAGTCAAATATTTCTACGACAACTTCCACTCCGTAAATTGCAGGCTTTTGGTAAGATGACCATGGACAACCCTGTGAATACTGAGACTCAGTGGAAATGTGGCCATTTGTTTTACATTATGCCATAGTGCAATGGTTACATAGGAAGTTATGTATTTTAGACAGGTATGTAAAGGTGTGAATAACCCTTGCTGTGTCCTCTCAGGGAAGGTGTGCTCCTTTGAGCAACTGGAGCACGTGTGTGAGATGCAAGAGAAACTTGCACGGCTACACTTCAGTCTGGACAGCCATGTTTAGGAGTTGTCAGAGGACCAGCGGAAGTGTGCCTCCGACCACAACCTGGAGCACCTGCTCTGCAACGTAAGCGCCTAACCTAACACTCTACAATACTCAATGATTTACTCACACTGTAGTACACAGCTCACCACATTTCTGTCCTTACCCAGATCATAGCCATGTTGAACCACACTGTAGTCAAGGGCAATGGTTATTTACACACTGTCTGTAAATAAGCAGAATGTGGTTATTCCCACACATTAATGTTTACATCCTAAGCAGATGCTCTTGAATAAATATAAAATATCCAGCACGTCTTTTGGACAACACCCAGTCCAAAAATGTGATAATGCATGCTTTTCACATCCTATCCACGCACACAGTAGTTGGCTGTGGAGAGGCAGCAGACACTGACAAACCAGACAGTTTGACCTCAGGCCCAACATGTGAAATGTGTCCATTGTTAGGTTGATTTCTCGCATCCACTGCTTTGGTGTGGAATGTGTGAGTGTACAGTATGTGTATGTGTGAGTGTGAGAATATGTGTGAGTGTAGTGTGAAAGCCCTTCAGCTCATTAGAGATATGGGTGCCAAGAATACTCTGTAGCCATAGCAGCAGGCAATAATGTAGCAGCAAAACAGATGGGCTGTGAAATGAATTTTCCACGGTGTAGATTAGCTAGAATAATTTACAAATTTGGGTTTATCTAGGGCTTACTAACAGTGAAACAATGATTGATGTGGTGAGATGTCGAATATTGATGTAACATTCTGTAGGCTATTGTTCTGTAAACCTATACTTCCGTCTAATGATTTTTTACTCTGATTACCCCAACATGGCACTACATAATCTGATTATGTTCTTAATTTCCGCCTTCAGATGGAAGAACTCAGCAGCTCAATGTATCCTTTTCTAAATGTTGTCTCGCAATCTTTGGAATTCACCTGACACACCAGGGATAACACTGGCTTTGAATCATCTATATTTAGCTTGAATCCTTAATGTGCCAGTGTTGGATCTTTAATGTATTTGTGTCCAGACAAAAACTACACCAAGCTGAAAACCAGGACCAGCCCAAGACATCTGGACCTTGACGAGGGAGATTAGGAATGACAGATCGCTCATCATCCCATGACGACGAGGAAAGGTTGCCATGATATTGATCCAACTGGCTTATCACCAAAACTGGTCCACATAGAGCCCCTGGTTAGATAATGGTTTGTATATGATTGATTGATTCAATCAGGTGTCAAGCACATCATCTGTGATCTAGAGACAAATACTCCACATTCATAGCACAAGTTCTGCTTATTTTAGTTATTGCACTGTACTGTAGTCCATGTCTTTTGTGAAGGAATATTGAGTCCACCACATGCAGAACTTTTCAAAACTAATGACAGATTAATTATCTTATGAGTATATCATATACTCATTTATAAGATAATTAATGTGTTATTAGTTTTGAAAAGTTCTGCATGTGGTGTGTGAGACCAGAGACTAACTTTCTTTGGTTCATCAAAAGTGTAAGATAAGACACCTTTGTTTTACTTCACCTTGCCAAGCCTAGCTATTTTTCCAATATGGCCTGGACCTGAGTCCCAAAAGAAGACACGTTAAATACAGTTTATTAGGTCCACCCATCTCGTACCTGGACAGACCCCCCTGTAGCCATGAAGGGCTGCACCTGGTCAGCAACAATGTTCATATACACTGTTCAAATGTTGCTCAGTTGGTATCAAGGGACCTAATGTGTGGCAGGAAAACATTCCCCACACCATTACACCACCGCCACCAGCCTGTACCGTTGACACAAGACAGAATGGGGCCATGGACTCAAACGACTTACGCCAAATCCGGACTCTGCCATCAGCATGACGCAACAGGAACCAGGATTCGTCGGACCAAGCTTATCCCCTCCTCAATTGTCCAGTGTTGGTGATCACTTTCTGAGTCCAAAAGCAAGCCGAGATCTACCGCTCATATTTTTTTTCAAACGACTTAAAAAACATACGCCTATGCAACATTAACCTATTAAAAACAGTTATGTAGCAATGAGGTTTGTGCAGTAGGCTATAGGCCCAATACATTATCACTGCATATTGCCAATGCTTGAATTGCCCTGTCAATGTTGTTCTTCTCAGACCATTACACTGGTAATATATATTTTGTTGTAATACTTGTGAGGCACAGCTGAGTTTTTTTTTTTACTGGACTGATGGCCTGCATCTGATGGTCAGCCTGACGGGATGGAGGAAGGGAGATAGCAGTGGTGAGGCTGTCTCTCACCCAACTCACCGTCCCACTGCTCTCCCTCACTCCACTGAGAAAAGAGGACAGTCTTCCAGCTGATGGCAAAACGCAAGTCACACTGAATTATTTCTGCCTCATGCACCAATTCATGTTGTTACTCCTATGACCGATCAGAGACAGTGAAATATTCCTCGATATTAAAAAAGACAAGCCGCTAATAATAACAACACAAGCTTATGGAAACACTTTGCTATACTCATTCATTGCAGCTACAGTGCTGGTTATAGCGTGAGTGGAAGTAGTTGGAACGCTAGCTTTGGGACACAACATCAGGAACGCACATTTTATGGCTTATAGGCCTAAAAGTGTTGAACAAAATGTTGACAGTGCTGAATAACAATGTACTTATTAAAACAGCAGCTCTTTGCTGTATTCATTGAGTCTCTCTAGTCATAGTTTTAAAAGTTTTGAAATCTCACAGTATTCAACTTTGCTGTGCGCTCAAGGCTTCTTTTTCCGGCATATGGCAAGGGTTGCCAACTCCTCAGTAAGGAAAGTAGCTATTGGCTGTCCTAAAAGTTGCTAGAAGTCGCTAAATGACGTCATCATCTAATTTGCATAATTGGCCATGTGCATGTAATTGTGATGGACGCTGTAGGAGAGATGTGGGGCTCTATTTTCTTACAACTAGATGTGATGCCTAGCTTAGAAAGAATACATTAATGATTAAACATAATAGGTTTGTGCTGTACTGATATAGATTGTTTAACATAACAAGCTGTGATTAATGTGAGGAACCGTTAGGGGGTAGGCTGAGACAGACTTGTGACTCACACACACACTGCCTCTTTGTTAAACCGCTCAAGGACATGTGTTCTGCTACAATGAAGAAGAACAAACTATGTCTGAGGTTGCTGACTTGAGACAAGTTGTAAAGATAACAACTAATGCCCGGCAACAGTGAAGCGCCAAGGGGCTGGGACCAGCCTGAGTGCCAACGATAGGTTGGGTAAGTTTAAACCACACCCAGCCTCTATTCTGACAGGCCCAGCAGGGAGCGGGAACTATCTCTGTCAGAGTATTTAAAGAAGAACTTATAACAATAGCTCAGTTCTCTGACTGCCCTGCGTAGTGTTTCAGTGGGCACGTATATACGAACATCATATTTACCATTCAAGTGTTTGCATTAATTAAAATACTAGTCTATTTTAGAAGACGTGTATTGACCTCTTTTTGTTCCTATATCAGATTCTAATTGACGCAACTTGACAATTGGTGACCAACGACGTGATCTGGTAGAGGGACTTCGCTGGGTATTGTCCGGCCGATTGGACATCGCTGTCGTTGGACGGTGTGTTTCACAAAGAGTCCGGACAACTAAAAACAGGTAAGCAGACATCTATTGTTATATAACTAAAGTTCTGCACATTGGCTTTATCCAAATTAATTTTGTGAAACACCTGTTTGATTTAAGTGAACTAAATTATGAATTATTATACGAATTATTATGAGTAGATAAGCACCATATTGTGACATGCAAACCTGTGGTGAATGTTATAAATGTGATGTGATAAATGTGATGTGTTAAACCATGGTACCATAGAGTATTGTTCTACCGACAAGGTCCGTAACTACGAGGGTACGGCTAGGACCAGGGAAAATACTGAAATCCTCAGGCTAGGTCCACCAGGGGTGGGAACTGGGGGTATAGGGAATTATTGGATTAAAAGTGTTGCGCTACTGGCAAGAATCGTAACTACGAGGGTACGGCTAGGATCAGAGGGACACTTAAAATTTTAGATAGTGTTGCGCTATCGGCAAGGTCCGTAACTAGTACGGCTAGGATCGTAGGAGCACTTTAAAGTACACTATAGTGTTGCGCTTCGGCAGGGAGTTGTACTTAGGGGTACAACCCAGATCGGAGGAGCACTTTAAAGTATAGGGTGTTGTATGAATGAGAGTGCGAATGATCCCAGTGTAATAAAAGAGTGATTGCAAATGAAATAAAAGAGTGAATGTGGGTTATTAAAATTAATAAACCTGTATACCTTGATAGAAAACTAATTAGGAGTTAAAGAAGTCTGTAGCTGCTTAAACCGTATAACCCGTTAATAACAATTGGGAATAGATATACTAGGGTAGAGAAATTAAAATAAAATATATTTTAAAAGTGAGACATAGAATCATAGCCTAAAAATGTTAAATTTCTAAAATAAAGATAAAAAGAAAAAAGTGTCGTGTACATAAATATGGCGGGACACACAGAGGCGGAACAGGTGCTGAAAGTACTGAAGTCCACCCTTGAAACAAACGGAGGAAAAGATGGAAAGGAGTGGAAACGGAGAGGAGAAAAATTATACAAAGAGTGGATAGAAGACGGTTGTATAATTGCAACTGACGGAATCCCAGGAGACAGAGAACCTGGCAGAATACTAGAAACACTGAAAATAAGAACTCAGAAAGCAGAAGGTGAAAGGAAGAATGAAGCCCCGCAGAGGCAAGATCAAAGACGCAATGGAGAAAGCAAGGCTGAAGGAAAGAATAGGACTGGCAATGTTGGGAAAACTTAAGAAAATGTGGGAAGAACAACAGAACAATAAGGAGAAGCAGGACAAGAAGGAAGGATCCAGGTTTCCTACGGAACCGCCACCAAGATTATACCCAGAACTGCCTACGTCTCCACCCCCATACGAGGCACCAAAGCTAATGGCTCCAACACTGGATATTGTGGGGCACTGCTAGAAGCAGCAAGAGCTATACGAGACGGGGTTGAGAACATGTCCAGATTACAGGAAGAAGAAAGTCGTATGAGCCTGATGGGTGACGGCGACAGGGGAAGCCTGAT